CTGTTTCATAGAGAAAAGCAAATCACTAAGATAAAGCTTACATACTATCACCTAATTCACATAAAGGGAATGGTGCCTTAACAAGACTGTAGGGAAATTGGTATCTGTTCAATACAGACTATCAGAGGTTAAGAATGTCTAATATTGGCCGGACGTGGTGGTTTACGTCTAAAATTCCATCACTCTGGGAGGCCGAGGCGGACGGATCACGAGGTCAGGAGATCGAGACCATCCTGGCTAACACAGTGAAACCCTGTCTCTACTAAAAATACAAAAGAAATTAGCCGGGCGTGTGGGCGGGCGCCTGTAGTCCCAGCTACTTGGGAGGCTGAGGCAGGAGAATGGCATGAACCCGGGAGGCGGAGCTTGCAGCAAGCCGGGATTGAGCCACTGCACTCCAGCCTGGGGGGCAGAGCGAGACTCTGTCTCAAAAAAAAAAAAAAGTCTAATATTAAATGATAAAACACTACTGCCTTGAGTATGTCGCCATAATATCATATCAACTAATATCAATATACGCTTTTATTTTCCTCAGTAGAATGCCTGCCTCCATGGACACCTTTAATAATAAGAAGAAATCCACTAATTTCTTGTCAACACCAGGGACATGAGAGTAAACAGGCCTCAACTGGGAGTTGTGTGTACACATAATTAAAGAAAGTATGAAGGTAGCATTCTAATATGCTATAAACTGAATATAATACTCCACTGCTGTTTTAACAGAAGATACATAGGTACTCTACAGGGAGTCAAGCTCCCAGGGAGGGCAATGGTTAAAACCAGCAGCCCAGTTAGGTTAAAGTATAAATACCCTGCAGTCACCCTGTCCAGGGAATTGTCTCCAAAACACTGCCACTGCCACTGCCCAGTGCAATATTCATTATCATATCTCCAGATTGGATTACCTGAATAACTTCTTAAATAGTCTCCAGGACTGCAATCTTAATCTCTACAATGAAGTCATGATGATCTTTTAAACACATTAATGCTATAATAATCTTTTAATAATGCAAGTCTGATTTTGCCACTTCCGGCCTATAAATCTTTTAACAGTTTCCTTTCAGCATCAAGTCCACACTCTTACATTCAAAGCCCCCATTAATCCACCCAATCTTCTCTCTGGGCCACTAGACAGTCTTGAACATACCGAACTACTTGCCTTTCCTACCCGAAGCCAAATTCTCTCAGTTTTCGCCTATGTTGCTCCCTCTACAAATTGGCCTCTTCCTAAAAATGTTCAAGCGTCGTTGACTACATGCGATTTTGTTTTAGGCACAAACATTAAAATATTATTCCTGCATAAAATAGGACTTCATTATAAACAAACACATACTTTACCTCAAGATTGTATCCTCAGAACTTTAAGTCTTTTTCTTCCCTTTCCACTGATCCACACCTCCATGCCTCTGACCTGGGACTCACAGTCTGATTTGACTCTTCTTTGCACCTTTTTGATAATTTCTATATTATATACTGGTGCTTTGCATCCGAGTTAATTCGTCCACAATGACAAAATAGGCGATCCCACATTCCTAATATTTCCTCTGTATTCCACTGCTTGGTTCCTTATATGCAGTAAATTATCACATTTTTTTAGATGGGGGTCCAGCTCTGTCACCCAGGTTGGAGTGCAGTGGCACAATCCTGGCTCACTGCATCCTTTGCCTCCTAGGCTCAAGAGATCTTCCTATCTCAGTCTGCCGAGTGGCTGAGACCATGGGCGTGCACCAACATGCCCAGCCAACTTTTTTTTTTTTTTAATTTGTGGAAATGGGAGTCCCACTATGCTGCCCAGGCTGGTCTCAAACTCCTGACCTCAAGCAATCCTCCTGCCTTAACCTCCCACAGTATTGGGATTACAGGTGTGAGCCACAGTGCCCAGCCCTCATACTTTTGAGAAAAAAAAAATTCCTATCATAGGGCTTTACAACTATTATTATTTTTTAATTTCTGAAAATAAATAATGTATTACTAGTTATAGTACTGCTCATGTTCACAATCTTAATTCTGAAGAGAGTTAAATGCTTCAAGGAGAGTGGAGCTCCCTTTTCCTTAGCAACATGCTTATTTTCTAATAGCAGCCTTTGGCAGACAGTGCTCCCACCTTTTCAATGACTGTTGTGGGAATTTCAAGTTTGGTAAGAGGACAGAACAATATCTTGGCAGATGAATTCTGCATCCTTCAGATTGTATGATGTCCTAAATAAGACAACTGACTTCTCTACCCACTCACTTTCTCGGGGACATTTACTGAGGGCCTATAAACTGTGCCAGGCATTGTTTAGGTGCCATAAAACAGAGATCAGTATGAGTTGGTCCCTGCCCTCAAAGGAATCTAAAAACAATCATAAAAGACACCTATGTAAACAATTAAAATGAACAAGATGAATGCTATAATAAAGACTATTGAAATTTTGTAGGAGCATTGAAAAAGAACAGGTAACAAGAGGGCTCAAGAAAGCTTCACAAAGGGGGAACAACTGGTCTTAAAGGATAAAGAGAAGTTTGTCAGGAGTAGAAGGGATGGAAAAGCATTTCAAACCAAAGGAGCAGCTTGTACAAGGCAGAAAAGTGTGTGCCAAGGAATGATATGAACTCATGAACTTCAGTGTGAGTGGACTATGGGGAACAGTATTATAAAATGAAGCTGGAGGAGAAGGTTGGCCTGAGATTGCAAGGGGACCAAAAGTTCTGTTAAGAAGCTAAGCATTTTGACTGTGGGCAGCAGACAGCCTCAAACATTTTCAAGCAGGGATGTCATATGAGAACCAGTTTTTGGACGGTAACAATGTAAGTTATTAATGCCATTAAGAAAAGGAATAAAGGCATAGAAAGTTAACCTCTGAGTATCCTCTAAGTATCTGCAGCCTAGTTATATCATTTGATTTCACAAGAATGCTATAGGAGAAGTTTTTAAGGTCTTTATTTTAATAGTTAAAGAAATGGAGGCCAGGCGTGGTGGCTCATGCCTGTAATCCTGGTACTTTGGAAGGCCAGGGTGGGTGGATCATGAGGTCAGGAGATTGAGCCTGGCCAACATGGTGAAACCCCGTCTCTACTAAAAATACAAAAATTAGCTGGGTGTGGTGGCAGGCGCCTGTAGCCCCAGCTACTCAGGAGGCTGAGGCAGGAGAATTGCTTGAACCCAGGGGGCCGGAGGTTGCAGTGAGCTGAGATCCCGCCACTGTACTCCAGCCTGGGCGACAGTGAAGGAGAGAGGGAAGAAAGGAGGGAAGGGTGAAAAGGAGGGAGGGAGAGAGGGAAAAGGCTCACAAAAATGCTAACCTTCTGAAATTCATACCCGCAAAGGGTAGGCATTTCTATTTTGGGGGGCCACCACCAGTCAGAAAACTGGCTCAATTAACAATGGGTCCAGATCTTTCAAAGCGTTGCTTATATTCTAATGAATTAATCATTCTCATTTTGTATATGATTAAACTAAAATTAGAAAACTGATGTGTTCTAACATACAAAGGCTCTTCATGACTTTATGACTGAATTTTTGAAAAACATTTCATTACATTTGTAAGATAGTAATATTTTATACATATATTTGTATCTAATGAACCAAATTTACCTAAGCTGGTATCCATAACTTAAACAGGAACGCATGAACACATGATGAATCCGCTATCATCTTCTAAATCAAGACTTTTTCATTTGCATCAGGAAGCTTTTGAAACTATTTATCTAAGACTAACAGTACATTCTGAGATGATTTTGTTGTTATTGCCTTCAAACTATGGTACTCCATTGTGTAGGGCAGCAGAATTTGAGTGGCTGGGAATTTTGTATTTATTTTTAAATTGTCCAAAATAGTACAAAATAAGTTAACTTTGCCACAACATAATAACTGATAAAATGCCTGCTTATAGCACCTGGAGCAAGATAAATAAGAGCTCAGTAAATATTTTCAAAATTGAGCTAAGAATTATGATGTAATTCAACTGTGACTTCACAACAGGAAAACAATCTTTTTATAATTTTGCTTTATAATGTTATATAATGTATAATGTTTTATACTGTTGTAGTTTTGCTCATATAAAATTCATTTATATTTTCTAGAAAAAGCATAATGTTTTAAATACTAACCATGTGACTCATTATTATATTTGCTAATGTTGGCCTACTTTGATTATTCTCACAAATTTAATTAGGCTTGGAGAAAGCACTCCATCGCCCTCTTGTGGTAATTTTGCTGTACTCTATATTCGCCAAGAGTTCAAAAGAAATGAATTTTTTCTTTCCACTTAAGAGGCAGAGCAGTATTTTAACCATAAACTTCTGAACTTCCAAAAGCCGTATATAAACTTTCTGTCCTCCACTGTCCATATACTTGGCGCCTTCTCTTCAGTTTCTACCTCAGAAATTTAGTCTTTTCGTTGCTTTTTACAAAACATTCTCCTGTTAGCTTCCAATTACCATACCAATAGCATTTTTCTGAAAATTACTTTCTGTATTCAAATGCACAAAATAATTACCGAAAATCTTCATCATCATACATAGGCTTTAAATAAATAGAAATAACTCAAAAATGTATGGGGCTGAGCTTGGCATTTTTTCCCCAAGAGAATAGGTTATGCTAAGTCAGTTAATAGTCCAGAAATTTCAGAGACTAATAATATTAGACTAAATATTTTAAGTTTTTAGAAGTAATAAAAGTCTTTCCTCTAAAATAGTCTAACTCATATGCCATGGCCTGTCCTCTTTCCAACACAACAGAAATATTTCTTACTTCTTTTTTTTTTTTTTTTTTTGAGACGGAGTCTTACTCGCCACCCAGGCTAGAGTGCAGTGGCGTGAACTCGGCTCACTGCAACCTTTGCCTCGTGGGTTCAAGTGATTCTCCTGCCTCAGCCTCCTGAGTAGCTGGGACTACAGGCGCCCACCATCACACCCAGCTAATTTTTCTTGTATTTTTAGTAGAGATGGGGTTTCACCATGTTAGCCAGAATGGTCTCGATCTCCTGACCTCGTGATCCGCCCGCCTTGGCGTCCCAAAGTCCTGGGAGTACATGTGTGAGCCACTGCACCTGGCTAGTCTTTCTTCATTTTGTAGATCAGAAAACTGAGGGTATCAAAGAGGCTATGTGACTTTATTTAAAGCCGTTAATCTGTAGAAGTCAATGACAACTCAGGTTTTCAGACTGAGGCCAAGATGTTCCATCCTGCTGCTCAAATGCTCTTTCTAGTGCTGTGTCCTTCTTTCCCTATGCTACATAAATTGTGAGAACAAGAATTGGAAGGTGCTTTCTTCAGTAATTGTTTGATGGCAATAATGTTTCTGTGGTTATTTGTACGTATCATCAAAACTAAAATGTTGTATTTCCAAGCATAACCTTACAACAATATATTTTGTTATTAAATAAGACCCAAATTTACAATTCAACACATGCTTCCTGAGTATTCTGGGAAACAAGGAAATGCCCAATCCTACAATTATGAATAGCAAATGCAACTGTATCAAATACACACAAAGAATGTTTATGAGATGTCTCAGAGAGAAAAATAGCTATAGTTAATCTTGACAGTCCTTTCTAAATCTTAGATTATTGAGAATGGGTTTTACCAGTGAATTCTACCATATATCCCAGAACACATTTTCATAATGACACTCATTATGAAAAGCAAGAAGTAAGAGATTTTTTTGGGCTACCTGCTTGGTTTGGCCGTTGCCAGCTTGGTGACTTGATGACACCGGTGGATCCTACAGGCTTGAAGGCAGCTGCAGTTGTGAGGCTGGCTACTCCTGGTCTGCCGGAGGCTGGGCTGTCCAGGCTTTCGGGCATGCTCCGTGTGGAAGCTACTGAGGAAGTCAACTGTGGAGAAGGCTCCTGAGAGTTACTGTAAAGGAAATAAACAACTTTGGTGAAGCGGTAGCAACATAACTTAGCAACAATCCTTTCTTTTCAAAATCCATGAATCAATCAAAATCCATTGGTTAATCGATGTTTTAGAAAAGAAAATCTTTAAAGTCATGACTGAAGGACTGCCTCTCTTTAAAACAGAAAAAAAGAAAAGGGAGCCAGATTGCATTTGTTTTATGCTTTGAAAATTCTAAAAGGTCTACCACGAGAAATTAGACTATTGAAAATTTACACAATTAATCTTTTAAATGATAAAAGTTTCCCTGATACCTCACCCCTTCCCAGTTACGCTTCTTCTTCTTCTTCTTCTTTTTTTTTTTTTAGATACAGGGGTCTCACTATGTTCCTCAGGCTGGTCTTCAACTCCTGGCCTCAAGCAATCATCCCACTTCAGCCTCCCAAAGCACTGGGATTACAGGTGTGAGCCACCATGCCCAGGCCAGTTACTCCTTCTACTCACATACTCACTCGTTCATAAATATTTAAGCACCTATTATATGCCAAATGTTGGTTGTGCTATGCACTGGCCACAAAACAAGAAACAAGAAACAACATCCCTTGCCTAACAGAACATCCAGTGTTATGCATTCATAATAAAGGGAAAAAAGAGACAAGACTGCCACTACCTTCTTTCAACCAGAGTTACCTGTTTAAACAGGAGGGCTTATCTATGCTAGTTCCAGTTTGGTTTTGAAGATCATATGGCCTTTATTACCAAGTCATTTGTTATTTATAATTATATATAACATCATTTCCAAAAAATAATAATTATAGGTAGCCTAAATTATAAAATATATGCTTTGGTATGATATAATATATAGCAGTGGTTATTTCTATCAAGTAAAGTATAATAATAATACTTAAAAGTCATACTTTCAGGCTGGGCGTGGTGGCTCACACCTATAATCCCAGCACTTTGTGAAGCCGGGTCTGGCAGATCACCTATCTCTACTAAAACTACAAAAATTAGCTGGGCATGGTGGCGGACGCCTGTAGTCCCAGCTACCTGGGAGGTTGAGGCAGGAGAACGGCTTGAACCTGGGAGGCGGAGGCTGCAGTGAGCTGAGATCGTGTCATTGACAGAGCGAAACTCCATCTCAAAACAAAAAAAAAAAACACAAAAAACAAACAAACAAAAAAAACCTTTCTACTACTTAACTTTTCAATGCTGGTTGCTTAAAAAATTCCATACACAGAAATTCAAATTATTTCAATACCTGAAATCAATAGCTGGAGGAACAGACTGATAAAGACAGGGTAATATATTAACAAATTCAATAAAATGCCCTTAATTAAGTAGAAATTATTTTAATAAAAATAAATTTCAAATTAAATATTGTCCATATTATCAAGTGAACAGTAGTTTATAATTTCCCCAGTAACTCTTAAATCTTATGTAAAACCTAACATAGTAAGCCCCAGACTGGCCATCCATAGAAGACTTAGTTGCAAAATTGGCCCTTGACTGGCATCTAGGAACTTAGCTGGTAAGCTGTGGCCAACAGCGACATAAAAGTTTCTCTAAATGCTGGCTGGGAGCGGTGGCTCACACCTGTAATCCCAGCACTTTGGGAGGCCAAGGCTGGAGGATCACGAGGTCAGGAGATTGAGACCATCCTGGCTAACACGGTGAAACCCCGTCTCTACTAAAAATACAAAAAAATTAGCTGGGTGTGGTGGTGGACGCCTGTAGTCCCAGCTACTAGGAGGCTGAGGCAGGAGAATCGCTTGAACCAGGGAGGTGGAACTTGCAGTGAGCCGAGGTCATGCCACTGCACTCCAGCCTGGGCAACAGAGTGAGACTCCATCTAAAAAAAAAAAAAAGTTTCTCTAAATGCTAAGAGTAGCTCTCTGTGCCTTAACTGTTTGGATAAACAATACGGTTGATGTTGAACATCTGCTTTCCTTTTGAGAGTCTAGAATCTTGGTAGAAACTCACCACGAGGTGCCTATGTAATAAGCCCTTAAGAAACCTTGGGTATGTGGTCTCTACTGAGCTTCTATGGCAGCAACGCTTGGCATGTCTTGCCACACTTGCTGCTGGAGGAATTGTGCACTCCCTATGTGACTCTACTGGGAGAGGCCTCTTGGAAACTTGAGCCTCATTTCCTCCAGATTTGGTCCCATGCACCTTTTTCCTTTGCTGATCTTGCTTTGTATTCTTTTGCTATAATAAATTTTAGTCATGAGTGCAACTATACGCTGAGCCCTGTAAGTCCTTCTAGTGAAACAATAAACCTGGGAGTAGTCTTGGGGCACCTCTGACACTAAACAGTTTTGAAAAACTATACGAATGATTTTCTTGAAATATTGCTCCCTATTCTTGTTCTCTTAAATCAAGCGTCATAGAGCCATCAGCTTTTATTATTTTTGATCAGTTTAATTAAAAAAACTAAAACCTGCTTGATAATAAAACACGCTATATAATAAAAAACTTTAAGCACTTTAATAATCTTGATCATAAATAAAAAGTCAAAGACTGCCTCCCTCATGGGAATATTGAACATGATTATCAGTAAAGGCAACACAACAAAAAGCATTAATGGAATCAGGGTTCGAACATTATAGTATAGTGGTTATGAGCATCTTTTACAAATTATTTTACTTCTCTAAGCCTCAGTTACCTATACTTTAAGTGGGAGTAACATTTTGCTCATAAGATTTCTATGAGACTTAAATATGATAATTATGCATAAAGTCCAAGGCACAGAAAATAACCTTAACATATGAAAAGGATAATTACCGTATTAAAAAATAAAAGTAAGCCTTATTTTCAACATTTTTACTCATCACAAATAAATGATTTTTGAAATACTTATATATAAGTCATTTTCATTCTAGGATTAAATTACTCTTACAGATTTGATTTTTAAAACTAATTAATAATGTATATAATCATGGTTCTAAGAAAAAAAAATTATGACCAAGCAATGCTAGGAATTATCGATGAAACAAAAATATATAGTCTGGAAAGAACAAAACCCAATCCATCACCATTTAATGTGTAGTCATCTGAAAGAATTAAAATTTAATTCCAGGAGAGCTGCCAGACAAACTGACTTAAAAGAGAGGAATTCAGTGTCAAGCTTAATATAGTTTGGGTGAAGGAACTGGTAATAGTAGCCCAGGTTATGAAAAAACCTAGAGAAGCATGACAGCCATCCTCAAATGTCTGACATGCAGATTCACTCTATGTGACTACATTGTTTGCCTAATTTCAAGGAGTGAAATCTACAGTGAGATGGATTTCCTTCAATAAAAGGTGCTTCCTAATATAAAAAATCTTCCAAAGGAAAAAAATCTGTGCCTAATGAGGCTTTCTGTGAGAGCCCTGTCACCAGAAGCTACTTAAGCAGAGGATGGAATGCTGCAGAACGAATTTAGCCATTTAGCCTGTGGGAGGCTCAGTTATGTTTCAGCATGACACACAAAGCCTTCTAAGATAAAACTACAATCTACCAGTCTAGATTGTATCACTATGCTATACAAACTATATTCTGGCCACCCCTACTGTCTGTCCACAATTCTACATTTTTTTTCCAGATTCTACATACGAGGTACCTCTTCCTACTCTCTCTCTACACCCATCCACATCTTATCCATAATAATAATAGAAGTAAATATAATATGTATCATGCACTGTGTTCAAATTAACATACATTATTTTGTTTAATTATTCAAGCCTCCAGCAGTAGAGACACTCCTTTTAATTCTGGACATTTGTTACCTGCATGGCATATAATTTTACACTGATTTGTAATAGTTGTTTTAAAATTACTATTAATAGTCACTTCTTTACGCATCTTGTCTCCTCCTCTACATTATAAAGTACCTGAGGTTGGGGACTTTACTGTGACTGTAGGTAAATTATTTAAACTTGGTAAATTTCCTCACCTGTAAAATGGTATAAAAATACCACCTTTATCCCAAGGTTACCGTTAATAATTAAATAAGAGATGAGATAATACATACAAATTACTTAGCGCAGTGCCCAGCACAGAGTATATGCTCAGGAAATAAAAGAGATTCTTACTTCTACATCCTGTAATATCTGGTTTGGTGATAATAAAATTAGCTATAAGTACATTTACTAAATAAGCATCCTTCATCTGCACTCAGAAATTTGCTTCTTGGATGCACTGTGGATCATTTGGGGGCAGGGTATTGACCCCAGACAAAATCTTGCTTCCTCAGTTCAGTTTTAAAAACACACAATACTTCTTAAAGTTCCCACAGGGTAAGTATCATACAAGCTAAATAAATTTCAGTTTTTGATATCTTTTGCACAGAGGTTTGTATACATTCTCTTTCAGAGGCCTAAGATGTTTAAATCTTAAACAGTACTTTAGTTACAAAGGGCTTGGAGTAGACTATAAAGAATTCATAGAAATCTAAGTTATTACTAAGGCAGTTTTTCCATTTATGCTTAAATCCAGAATTGATCTGAAGTTCAATTTCCTCTGAGGACAGAATTTAATTGAACCATTTAATGTTGTAATGGAAGACTATTAGGGTTTATCTAGACAATCACATATCTGAATATATGATGCCCAATCCTCTAAAAACCAAACATTTTTTCCCTAATTTTAACGATTAGCTACTATTGAAAGAGAACACACAAACATGTGGTATTGGCTGGCACAGTAGTTCATGCCTGTAATCCTAGCACTTTAGGAGGCCAAGGCAGAAGAATTGCTTGAGCCCAGGAGTTCGAGACCAGCCTGGGCAACACAGCAAGACCTCGTCTCTGTAAAAAAACAAACATTGTACTAAAGATGAAAGGATTGGCTGGGCGCGTTGGCTCCTGCCTGTAATCCTAGCACTTTGGGAGGCTGAGGTGGGTGGATCACGAGGTCAAGAGATGGAGAGCATCCTGGACAATATGGTGAAACCCCGTCTCTACTAAAAATACAAAAATTAGCTGGGCATGGTGGCGCATGCCTGAAGTCTCAGCTATTTGGGAGGCTGAGGCAGGAGAATCACTTGAACCCGGAGGTTGCAGTGAGCTGAGATCGCGCCACTGCTCTCCAGCCTGGTGAAAGAGCAAGACTCCATCTCAAAAAAAAAAAAAAAAAAAAGGATTAAAAGTCACTGGCCATATTATTTTATATGTGGGAATAAAATATTATCAATAATCACTAGCAACACATTTCTAAAATTAATGATTAATGTATTAATACAGTACGGCATTGTTACTTAGATTGCTATTTTATTTCTGAACTCATGATTCAAATGTTTTTTCTGAATCTAAATTGTTTAAGGTGTACCTAAATCCTAAATAAAATTTAAATGTTTTCTAAATAATTCTAATGAGGAAATTGGTGTAAGTCCATAAATACCCTGGGCTGATACCACAGATACTGATATTAAAATATGGTTATTTTAACTAATCTGCCAAATAAACAGGGACTGAAATGAAATAATAAATTGATATGACTTCTATCTTAAGAATACCAAGATTTTTGTTTCATTTTTTCAAAAACTGAAAATAGAGACAAATACACTAATAGAGCAAAAGTTTATTTTCAAGATGGAGCTAATGAGGAAAAAGAAAAGGAAGAAAAGCTAACTCTCAGTGTCAGCAACCTGATTTATCTTGAGTTTACATTCCTTTCCCACATTTGTTTAACTATTACAACAAATAAAGCTCAGATACAGATTAAGAACACTTGGGAATTTTAAGTCTATTTTCAAAAGAAAAACTCTGCTTGAAGAGTACTTTTGAGAGTAACTTATTCTAATTACATGTTTACATTTTAAAGAAGACAACTGTACATCACAGGTTTAATTATCGATGTTTAAGTTAAACAGTTTTTGGCTAAAGTCTTACCAAAAAATGGTATACTAATATACAGATTCTGAAATGGCAGGAAAGGAGTATTTCTGGAAAGGCCTTAGTTACGAGCAATTGTTTATTTTATAGAATTCCTCTGTCAGGACTCCTTTAAAGGACCTGGACATGTAGAGAGAGTAACGTGTGTCCTTCCTTCCAGAATTCCATATTTAGAAGAAAATTTTTAATATTTTCCTAAGCAAAATTCTTTAACTTAGAGTTTGTAAACCAAAATTTAAAATATGATGTACTAACACATATTATAATGGAAATATATTTTAATGGAAAAATATATTTTAATGGAAAAAATAAATTTGGTATTATACTATATTTATACTTTTAAAGATTACTATCACACAAAAGTAAAAATCAAGATAAAATGTCTCTGACACATTTTATGATTACTCTCATACAAGATAAAATGTATCTGGTCTTTTGGGTACCCCTCTCACTAAGTTAGCAAGGGTCTCCTCAGGAAACCCCAGAATGCCAACTGGACTATCTTTTTAGAAACCATTTCCCTCTCTCAATATCAAACTATATTTTGTCTGTGTCCTACTGTTAATAAGCAATGGTGATGACTACTAATACTTGCTCTAGAGGTGGGGCCACAGATAGCACAGTCAGTCCATAAATGCATGCACACTTTTGCATGTATATGCACACAGGTACTTTTCTGGAGAGAGGATCTATAGCTTTTACCAGGTTCTAAAAATGTGGTATAAGTGTACTCAAGTACTCAAAGCGTACTCTAAGCAACGTCAGTAACCTGCCTCTGTACAATCTCAGCCCTGACAATGAAAGACTTCTGCTCCCTGAACACTTACAATTCTGCAAATATGTAATTTCAGGTACTGTCTTAGAGAAAAATGTACTATCATCTTTCTCTCTTGTTTAAACACCTCCCTTAAAAGTTACCCAGAATAAACATATGTATATTTTGTTGTTGTTGTTTTGAGACAGAGTCTTGCCCTGTCACCCAGGCTGGAGTGCAACGGCACAATTTCGGTTCACTGCAACCTCTGCCTCCTGGGTTCAAGTGATTCTCCTGCCTCAGTCTCCGAGTAGCTGGGATTACAGGCACCCACCTCCACACGCGGCTAATTTTTTGTATCTTTAGTAGAGGCAGGGTTTCATCATGTTGGACAGGCTGGTCTCGAACTCCTGACCTCGTGATCTGTCCGCCTCGGCCTCCCAAAGTGCTGGGATTACAGGTATGAGCCACTGCACCTGGCCCAGGTAAATATATGGAAAAATCTCTATAACAGTGGTTAGAATACAAACATCTAATCAATATCAGTTATATCAGTTATATAGCCTAGTTATATCAGGTTTTCACTAAGTATGTTGTATACTTTGCCACTGATTTTATGTTCTGTCGAAAATCATTGTATACAGTTATTTCACTGAGTTTATATCTCTAGTAAACACTTGTGATATTTTTATTTTTATATTATGCCTAAAAATTTCTGGCTTAATCCTTAAGCTTAATAGAAAAATCTATTTTGGTGTTTAGCATTTCCCAAATAGTGGAAATTAAGTTGCTTTTCCAAGCAAAACCTTCATATTTAAGAACTAGAATATGTAGTCAATCAAAATTGATCATTATTATTTTTCGTTTTTCCAAAAGTTATGTCTTACTAAACATTTGAAGATTCTAATACAGCTATATCTATGCAATAAAAGACAGAAATTCTACTGCAACTTAAATACTTGTACAATTACGTGGAATTGCACACCAAACATCAAGTATGCTAAGGAAAGATGTCACAAAAGGTTAAAAGGTGAGTTAATAATCACAGGACATACTGTGCTTGTGCATTAGCATGGCATTGACATTACAGTTAATTCAAAATTGGGCGCAAATCCCTAGAGCTCTAGCATGTTGTCACCCGGCCTGTTAATACAGTGGTGACGTGTTAGAGAAAGCAGTATCCTTAACAGCAAACCACCACTTGCCATATCTGCTCCCACAGTACCTTGTTTTCTTAACATGGATAGAGTCAGTTGATTTCCTTGAGGACTGCAGATAGGAAAAAGCTAAAGGCTTGGAGACAGGACTGATGCAAAGTGCATCCAAGAGCGAGTGATATCTTTCAGGAGTGTAGAGCCTGGTAAGCATTTAGAAAGAGTTTTAAGTCAAAAATCGCACTACCAATAGACGACAGTAGTTTTTAAGGTCTGTGATTTGAAACATTTCCTTTATGAGAAAGAGGGTGGGGAGAGAGAGGAGGACAGAGGGGAAGCACAAAGCAGCAAAGGAGGATAAAAGAAGCACCAAGAGTTTATTCTATCGCTTTACTCATTAATATAACATTGATTAGATTTTCACCAAAATGGTCACAGCCATCATTTAGAAAGCATTTGAAGCTCTAAAGACTATAGAAATTATCTAAAACCCCCAAACCACGAAAATAAAACCAATTTATTTCTTTTTGGGAAACGATGCAATTTTATTTTTTTAGGGGACAGTAGTCTTCAGATCACCCTTTAAAGGTCGTGGGAGAAGATAAAATCAATAGAAACTTAAAATACTCATTAATACTTTATTGTTTCAAATATAAAACCTGAAAATCGTAAAAATCCAAGTGCCAATAAGCACACAACATGTAATAATCCACACAACTGAGAAATACCATACATAAATAGCAGCAATGGAGAGATTAAAAGGTGATTAAGAAATAAACAGTAACAAATACTGTGAGATTCATCCACAACCTAAAATATCCACTACACAATTAAGAGCTCACAATAGAGCTATGATTGCTTCAAACAGATATGTTTTCTTTGAGGTGAATTGTAAGACAATGAAGAGCGCTCAGATTGCATCAGACAGACGCTGCATGTGTAATTCTACCTGGTTTTTGCAGCAATAACAGCAGACACAGTAGCAGCTGCACTGCTCAGAACTGCAGCACTGTATCTAGCAGGAGAAGAGAAGGTAGAAAAGTTTCGAAAACCTTCGAAAGAATCTTCCACATTTCCTGTGGAGCTGCTTAAACTGACAGGTAGGGAAAGAAAAACAGGAGAGGAACAAAAAGGAAAGTGAGAAAGGGTAGCATAATAAATACAAGAGAGTAACCATTCCATATTAATATCTAGGCATTATAAAAGTGTGAAGTGTCAGAAGTGTAATAGGAGTTCAGGTCATTTAGTTACTGCTGCTATGATTTCTCTCAGAAGATAAAAGCTGATGTATAATCCTCCATAAAGCTGATTTTGACATACAAATACTTTTGAATGTATTTAAGTTCACTAACTGTATTCCTATTTAAAATTACCTTGTATCACACATTTGAAGACTGACTTGCCAACAACTTAGCAGAAAATAAATCTAAACATGAAGTTTGAATTTCTATAAGCATAGAAAGAAGAAAAATTGTTTTTTCCCAAAAAGCCTCTATATAACGAGCTTTATGTTAGAGACGATATACACTGACAACATGACATTTTAATAAGGCTTATGTTTTCAGGAGAAGCAGGTACAACTGACTGCTTATTGAGAAGCAGCAATATGTATTAACATGAAAAGAGATAATTGTTTAAAATATTGAGAGTAAAGCTATTTAAGGAGGGAAAGGACCTTTGCAAAAATAAACAGATGTTCCAGTGAATATGATCAAAACATCACCTTTTTTGCTGAGTTTCATATTTCTACTTTTAGTTAGTTCTGTAAGCATTTTTAAATGCAGGCATAGCATTTTATCTTCAGAACTAATAAGTATTTATTACTTAAAATAATAATTCTCCCTTGGCCTTTCAGAAAAGATCAAATGCCTAGACAGGAATGAATATCCTATCATTACGACTGTAATGATTTTCAAATTGGTTATTAAGTAAAATAAAAAGAGTCTAAAATGCATAGTGTGAAACTTGTAGTCTCTCTTCTTCATTATGGGTGCAAGTTATCAATGAGCATCATCACTACAGTATGACCACTTTTTTCAATGGCCACCTCCAACACAAAGTAATTACGCTGCAAACTCAACCTCTGGTTAAAGTGAGCTTAGATGTCTGAAACTATGAGGGTTGACATAAGTCTCTTTTTCCTATCACAAGAATTTGATAAGTCATTCTTCCAAGTTCCATAGGCTATAACTTTACAAAAACCATTAGAAAAAAAATTAATAGTTGCAAGCTATGTTTTCAAAATGACAGAGAATTAAGTAATTTTTTTGATCTGTCTAAGTCTATCCATTAAACTAAACTGTATGGCTAAGTTTTGACAACTGTCGTGAATGGTTAGAAAAGAAAACGTCAGGGGCTGGAAAGAGAAAAGAAAGATGCTATCAATGGCAGAGCAGGGTAGGTAGCATGAATGTCAAAGGGAAGAATAAAGTTATCATGTGATTCCACTTCTGAGTTTCTGAATTACTCTGCATCTTTGAGACAATGGTTACTATTTGGAGACGTAGTGGTGAATAATAAGAATTAGAAAATCTAATTAGAAATTAGAAAATTTTAGTCTATTAAAAATCACTTAAAAAAATAATTCAGCTAATTTATTCTGCTCCAGGAAGGAAACAGTAATGAACTTCTTTCACCATAGTGTACCACAAATAATAGAAAAGGATTTAGTATCAGCAGAATCTAGTGATATCTCATAAGCAGTTACTTATCTGAGTATCTTAAGAAAATGGCTGGGCACCTGGTAACATATTGTGTATGATCTTTACCTGTCTTTGAGGCAAATGCTCTAATTCAGAAAAGGAGACTTATGACAAAGCCAGCAAGTTAACTTTCCCAATCACAAAGTGAATAAATAAAAGAGATTTCTTGATTCTATATTAGAAGTTATAAACTAAACCAAAATAAAAATACAAAAGCAGTGAGAAGTGCTGTTTTGAGGCTGAGTGCTAAACTTTCTTGTCTATATGTTAATGATGTCAGTTCTGTAATCGACAATCATCTTTTCTTTTTCAAACAGTTTAGTATACTTAAATTCACTACCAGTTTTGAAATTTAGAAACAAGAAGGAAAAGTCTACCTAGAATAAGTAGTTGCTACTTTAGAAAGTATGGCCACTTGGCTACCAATGGTTAACACCTGAGGAGTTGCAGGTGGGTGAGGTCCACTCTTAGGCAGGTCTTCCAGAGAACTGTCAAACCTAAGTTTTCAGAAGTAAAATATATAAGGCAAAGGAAATAGTAATGAAAAGTACAAAAGACATTTATCATCTATACCATCTTTTAAATGTCTATTAGTTCAATTTTGGGAACACTATTTGTTTTTTTTTTTTTTTACTTCACATCTACAAATGGTTAAAACAAAAACCAACACTTCTGCCACCACAAAATATGGGCTGTTTTCCCCCAAATTCTTTAACATGACTACTTCTATGTAATAAAATATTATGCTTACAGGCGAAAAGAAAGTGGAAATTCCCATTCACTGACTATGTATTTTGAATGCTTTAAAAAAACTTAGGCTCCAAGAAGTTAATTAAGTTGCCCAATACCATACATCTAGTAAGGGTCAGGTGGAATTTGGACCAGGTCTGTCTGTACTATTTCCACTATATAATGTTTTCCAGCACATTGTGAGGCAGCTGCCTAAAAGTGTCCTATAAGAAAGCAACCAAAAAGTTCACATCAGAATGTTGTGTTTGTAGATCTGAAGTTATATGGATGTTGTTTGTCTTGATGTAAACAAACTATTTTATCTGCTCGTACAACAGATGGTGGCATGCAATCGCAGGGCTTTGTTTTGAGTATTCTTTACTTTGATTTTTTGTTATCTCTACTATTTTTTATTTAGAATGCCAGAATTAAATTTTAGAAGAACTATTGCCAGGTAAAGAAAAAATGAAAAACTCAATGTTAAGTTCAATAAAAAGAAAGCATCAAGTATAAAACTTTGGGAAGAAAAATAAAACAGGAAAAATACAAAATTAGCCATTAAAAAAAAAAAAAAGTCTGCGGATAAAAAAATAGAATGGTCAGTCATTTTACACTGATTTTCAAATGAATTAAAAAATAGAAAAGGAGAGGTTCTATTCCTGTTTTTTATTCCACATTAGTCATACCTTTACCAGAGTGTTGAAAAAATGTAGACAGTTGAAGAAAAATGTTATGATAGAACTAAAACATTATTTAAGAGATAGAGCAGAAAGGTTAAGAGAATAAGAAACATAAGAACCATAACATGGGTCAGCAAACCATGGCATGCTGGCCAAATTCAGGCCCTGCCTGTCTTTGTATGGCCTAAGAATAGTTTTCATATTTTTAACTGGTTAATGGTTAAGAAAATCAAAATAATAATATGATGACACACAAAAATTATATAAAATTCAAATTTCAGCATCCACAAATAAGGTTTTATTGGAACTTTACTGGAACATAGCCAGGTTCATTCTTCATATGTCTATGGCTACTTTCATATGATATGAGAACTGACCAATTGTGACAGACCATATGGCCTGAAAAATCCAGTACATTTCCTATCTGGACCTTTACAGAAAAAAATTTGCGACCCCTGTCCTAGAAAATAACTTCTCCACATAGCTACCAGAGTGAACTCTGAAAAATACAAATGTGATCATGTCTGTTGCTTAGTCTAGCCCTGCTTTAAGTGATCCTGGGCTACCTGTTCTTCAGCATTATGTCATGAAGCTTGTCCACTCTCTTTGGCTTGCTCCAGTCCACTGGGCCTTCCATTTCTTTTTGAAAAAGGCCCTGCTTCTTTCCCCCTCCTGGCCTCTGCACAGTCTCCTACTCCTCACTGTCTACAGCCCTTGCTCTACCACACCTTCACTGGGATAACTCCTAAGCATCCTCCTGGCCTCAGTTTAAACGTCACCTCCTCCCAGAAGCCTCCCTGATTCCCCAAGCCACCTTAGCTGCCCCTGTCATGTGCTGTCATAGCAGTCTGTACTTTTTACTCATAGAATTTGTTATTATTATTATACAATTTGTGTCGTTATTTAAATCCAGACAATCTCAGTAGACTAGAAGTTCCCTGACATCAATAGTTACTATTATACATGAAGTGTAACAAAATGCTTACCATAAGGTTAACAAATATTTGTGAATAAAAGCTTGAAATTTATTTTTTCCCAATAATGAATTCACAATATTTGTATATTGAAACACATTTGTACCTTCTAAAGACTGTGTCACAATTCTGACTAAACAGATTTTTGCATAAGTGGACACATGATAACTTCAAAGGAATGGATAGTGTTCCAAAAATACCTTTAAAGAAATGTCCTTTATAATATTAAAATATTACAAATATTTCAGGAAAAAAGAAAATATGCGTATGAATTATTATCAATATCTACATATTACCACAGGACAGATTAAAAAGAAAAAAAGAAAAAGGATTTGGAGAAGTTGAGTCTTCCAACATCTCCATGAAATATGCTGACTGGAAAAAGCTGAGTGCCATTTGAGAATAAATTTCATATAAATCATGAAACACCTTTGGAGATGATCGCCATGCTTCCAAGCAAATGCACTTGGGAGGTTTCCCATGTGTTACACATATTGATTATCTCTTCGTTGCTTAGCCAAACTCTTAAAACCTGACTTAAGACAAAATCTTAAACTACCTTATTTACTATGGAACAAACATCAGTGTCCGTTCTCACTCTGACATTCCCCAATGTTTACTCCTTTTAAGTTGGAAGAAGCTCTGATTAACAGCATATCTGCAGCAGCCAAATTTTTGGCCTTGTCTTGCTTAAATGAGTTTTCATTTCTCACCACAGAGAGGTATGAAGACTTTCTCTTTCCCAGATAAAGTCTTTCCCTTTTGGCTTGCTTTTCTCAGGATACAAGAACAAAAAGCTATTGATGCAATGTGTCTTTTTCTGCACAATCTCTGCACTTGTTCAATAAGGACTCTTGTGAACAATCTGTCCAGCAAATCAGGTGTGAGTTGTCCATCTACTAATTTACCATCCTTACCATCCTGTAGGACCAGTAAGAAGAATTCTTTTTCTATACCCTAGTCCTGACAACTGCCCAATAGCAACATTCTTATGCTGTGTACTCCATCTCCTCCCTTAATCTCAGTGGCCTCAATTATTCCATCTGTCCTCCTCTACTGGATGCTTTGAGTCCTCTTTTAAAATGCTGTAGTTTCTCTTAAAAACAACAGGCTATCTTTACCTTCTATTTTCCTATTCCCCTTACCAGCCAGACTCTGAAATAACAGTACACTCACTTGACTGTCAGTTTTCAGTCATCTCAACTAGACTCCAACCCCCAACACTCTATGAAACTGCATCTTGCTAAGGTCACTGATGACCTTTTTGTGGCTAAATTCAATGGACAATGTGCATTCCTCATTTTAAAAACTGTGGTAAAAAATACGTAACATGAAACTTACTATCTTAACCATTTTCAAGTGCACAGTCAGTAGTGTGAGGTACGTTCACATTATTATGGAAGAGATCTCCAAAAGTTTTTCATCTTGCATATTTGAAACTCTATACCCATTGAACAACTACCCCTACCCTCTCCACCTAGCCCGTGGTAACCACCACCATTCTACTGTTTCTATGAAGATGACTACTTTATTTTAATTCTTTTTTGGAGACAAGAGTCGCACTCTGTCACCCAGGCTGGAGTATAGTGGCGCGATTCCGGCTCACTGCAACCTCCACCTCCCTGGTTCAAAGGATTCTCCTGCCTCAGCCTCCCAAGTAGCTGGGATTATAGGCACGTGCCACCACGCCTGGTTAATTTTTGTATTTTTAGTAGAGACGGGGTTTCTCCATGTTAGTCAGGCTGGTCTCAAACTCCCAACCTCCCAAAGTGCTGGGATTACAGGCGTGAGCCACCGCACCTGGCCCAAAGATGACTACATTAGATACTTCCTATCAGTGGAATCATACAGTATTTGTCGTTTTGTGTGCATTCCTCATTTTACTTAGTGTCTGGCTCAACTGACTACTGCTTCTCTTTTCCTGTCATCTGTGCCTCAACCCTATTCACCTGCCTGTTTTTATTATTCTTTCACTGGCTATTCCGTTTCCTGAGAGTTCTCTGTCCTACGCTTTATTTCTCTGTACTCTTAGTGACATTACTCTCTCCTGTAGCTTCAATACCACCTAATGTCCAGATTTATATCTAGCCCAGCTCTCCCCTATGAGCAGTAGCCCATATTTTGAATTGCCCTTTAGTTATTAATACCTCTAATATCTCTCTATCTCAAATCATCTTTCACCATGTCCCAGTGACTCTACTTCCAAATTTATATTTTTAATCCATCGGTGGTGTGACGGGTCCCCTACCAGGTTACTTAAGGGTATTATATTCAATGCTTGAACCTTGAGGGCCAGGCAGTTAGCTATGGCCATGGTGCCTAGCCAAGGAGCAGGTGTCCCTGAGAACCCAAACATCCTGAGGCATGGCTGGGAATATACCAAGGAAAACAGTCCTATTATATGCACACACGCACATGTGTGGGCGTACACACACACACACACACGGCGTACACACACACACATACACACACATGGCAAAGAGCCAGAAAATTAGCTTAAAAGCAGCCTAGAGATGGGAGGTGCTGTGGGTCTCTTGGAGCCATACTGCTGCTGTCCAGTAGTGACCTGTATGTAAGTCCTCATAAACTCATCTACTCATCAAGCTGGACTTGTCTGAGTCATTCTTTAGTCTCTTGGCAACTTCCCAGTTTTCCCAGTTTGCAGGGGTTGGGGGGGCGGCATTACAGTACCAAGTTTTTCTCATTACACCATCCATCTATCCCACTTCTCTGCTACCACCCTTTCTCATCTAGACTATGATAAGCACTAACTTATACTAGTGATTTAAGAACTGTCTAACTGCTCTCTTGCTTCCTCTCTTGCCAAATCCTGTCCCATCCAGCCCCTGTGTTTTCTGGCATGGTTTAGTATAGCCCACATGCCTTAAGAAAAAACAACAAAACACATTTTATCAAATCATTCTTTTGATTAAAACCTTGCAATGAATTCCTACCGCAGTTAGGATAATACCCAAAATGCTTAACATGCTCTACAAATCCCCAAATGACCTGTTATGATCAACCTCTCAAGTACCTTTCCACACCAATTTTCCCTTTGTTCACTGAACTCCAGTCACATTAGACTACCTGTTCAATGTCTTGAACAAACTAAGT